CCTTCTTTGGCTAATTCCCAGAAGCCACCCAATGTATCTTCATCAACCTAAGAAGCAACAATGAAGTTGATAAATTTTTAGGCAGTTTAGGAAAAAAATATTGGAACCAATACAAAAAAAATATTATGAATTTTACAACTTATTGAAAACTATTTGAAATGCTTATCATTATTATCAATTATTAATTCAGTTCCGTATGAAAATAGAAAATTTCCAAAAAATCTATTTCTCGAATTAACCCACTTAAAAATGAATATTTCGTCAATTTATATTCAACTATCAATCCATATAAGTGGGGATGTTTGTGTAGAAAAAGGTATGAAAGAGATAAATAGTATGTAGAATAGTATGCATGTCCTTAAACTCACCAAAATTTTCAAGATTTTTTCCAGCCTCTATTAAGTGGTATCCACTGTCTTCCAAATCCAGTTATCCGCTCCTAGCAAAGAGTCCTAGGACTACTTCATCCCTCACAGTACACAGTCGTTTTATCCTATCCTATTAAAAATATTCTTTTAATTTTTTTGCTGTTCTTCAAATGCTGCTCTACTACCATAACATTTAGTTCCAAAGCTGCTATATCCCATCAATAACTTTCAAAAGTCTGCCAGTTCCATCAAAAGGTCCACTTCGTCAGACCTCCCTATACTATTCTGGCACACCTTGTCGCCAAATGCCACCAATTAAACAATCAGAGAAGAAGAAATAACCAATGGAAATCGACAAGTCGTATCACACAAGGAAAATCAATGTTGGCGTGAGCCTTGTAAGACGAGATTGGGATTTTCGCACGATTTTCAGAAGGGAGAGCCTTTCATTGCTCATATAAATATTTTCATTTAATTAGGTTTTTAATTACCCAAGTTTGAGGTTCTACGATTTAACGCTCAACAAACCACCACCAGTCGGCAGACACATTTTTAACTGTGGCGACAACAAGTCTTTTATTCATCTAAAAATAAAATCCGCATGAAAAACATTTATAACGGGAAGCTATTTTCAAAAATATTCTCATAAGTCACTTGAAACACTTTACACTAACTTACTGCCACAGCAGGTTTGAAAAGTTCCTCAGGATTAATTATAACTCTTCATAATGTTAACTCTTTAACGCCCTTAAAATATTTAAGACATTTAAGACCATCCGGTTCCACTTTTTTCTTCAAACGCCACACTTTTGCCAAGGTCGGAATTACAAATTATGAAACTGCAAATAATGGAATAGCAGTAACTGGTTTTTTGTAATAAGCCATTAATACTTTAAAGAATCTATTATATCGTCCTGTGATTCTCTCAGGCTCTACTGTATTCCATGAACATCCTCCTCAAACCCTACCACATCTACTGCATCATCCTTATAACCCCACAAATGGTTTCAAATTCTATTGAGTTTCCATCAAAACTCCGATCCTTTGATCTTCATTAATTTCCCTCAATAATCGCCTTTAAAGCCATATTCTTCAATTATAATCTCCTCAAATTTATACTTTATTCTTCTAGTAAACAGAAGTGACGGGAGGTATCAAAGGAGCATTGTGGACTTGGAGAGCACTGAGAAAGAGTTATATGGATTTGGCGGTAGTGAAACATTGTCCCAGATTTCGAATAGTCCTAAGAGAAATATAATGGGTTTTAAATAAATATCACGAAATATTCCAAACAATTTTGTCCATCAAAGTGATGAGTATTTTTAATAGTATTGCAATAAAAAAAAGAAACTTTTTGCAAGAAATATCGAAAAAAAAACCTTCTGAAAATTGGCAATGTACAACTGACCAAAAATGGTTGAAATACCAATATAAAGCACAATTGCAAGCAGTCCATGCAGGGGTATTATTCCCCAAGAAATACCAATCATTAACGCTAAAATCTGTTTGCCCCAATATATTACATCTAATAATTCATCTTTATCTGGCCATTCACTTTCTCTAATAAAAGCCTTTGTGACCTGCAAACACCAATATCAAAAGACAGCATCATCTAAAAAATAATTTCAAGAAATAAATCTTATTTTTGCAAAATATTTCTTTTGAAGAAACTTCAAACAGAAACTTTTTTTCAAAAGGACTTAAAAAGAACTAAAATTACATAAAAAATATAAAATTATATAAAAATTTATAAAAAAATTATACAAGGTTGATCACAACTGCGACCAATCGTCCTTCACAACACCTAAAACAAATATACTCTCTGGTATGGAAAAAGGAAATAATACCACATGACTGGAGCAAAGCAATTCTGCCCTCAAGAAAGGTAAAGGGTTTACGGTGATAGAAATTCGAGAGAAGATCATTCGATTCATAAAGGCGTTTTATCAGCACAGGTCTATGTATATAGGGAACTGACAGACCTTCTCGAAATAATAAATAAGAACTGGTGTCCGTCTCTTTGACCATTTATGATATTTATGATTTTATTTTATTCATTACGATTACGATTTGTTTACGATTTTATGGGTCCGCCAAGCTGTTTTATGGGTCCGCCAAGCTGATAAAATCTCATGATTACACCTTCGCTCAAACCACTTATATCAATGGTACCATCAAGACTTCGACTTCGACTTCGCTGGTTAAAGCACGTTCCTCGTTTCCCACCACGGAAATTCACACATTTTTCGTTAACTGCTAAACTCGATGATGGATGACATCAAAAGCGAGAGAAACCAATAAAGATCTGGACTGATTAGTGAAGATTTTGAACGTATAGGCGGAGTAGCGATATATGGACTTGGAGATGGAAAAAGAATGGCTTCTATTACCGTCAGCAATGGCGTCGAATGACCGACCAGTTTGGAAGCATCTTACTCTTGTAGCCAGAGGAGTTAACCTGATCAGTAATGGTGAATGATAGTGACTGTTAGAAGAAATGCTACCAATAATTGTAAATGGAAAAAAAAGATCAGAGTTAAAAATAACCTACGAGTTTTTTCCAGTTTGATGCTTCACCTTCACTAGAAATGACTTTCCGAGACATATTGCTTTTATAAAAACCTTAATAAATAAAAGTAAAGCAAACAATATAATGAAAAAATGGTAGAAAGTGGGACGTAAACAACGAATTCGAATATGAGAGAAATTTTTAAAAATATATGAATGATAGTTGACGTATAAGCTTATAAAATAATAGTGCAATAGTTACAAGGAATTTTGCTGAACTCTGCTTTCAGACTTCCATTTTATGCGATACTCAGCCAGACTTTAACTATGATTAGGAAATAATGTGTGGCAACGAGAGAAAACACAGAGAAAAAAGAGCAAAGGGAAATGAAAAAAAGGAAAGAGCGCAACTTTCCAGTATGAAACATCTCATATCCGCTCATGCAGTTTCACATTTTGTGCTATTTACTACTGCGTCCACTGGTCTCCTACGCCTAAAAATTTCCAAAATTACCTTTTTTCTACGCTACATTTGCTGTTCATTTGTTTCTCTCACAACATTACATTATTCATTCAATTGTTTCTTTTTTTTCTTCCTTGGAACTAAACAAAACTATGAACTACGAACTAATGAAGAAATCAAGTGTTTACACCATCTTTTTTTCAACATTAAGAAAAATATGATGGAAAAAAAAGTAGAATAAGTTCATTAAAGAATAATAATAAAGGTAACAATAATAATAAGAAATAATAGTAATAACAATTGTAATAAAGAAAAATTTATATTGCAAATATAATATTGCAATAATATGAATAATATTGCAAAAGTATTTGCAAAAAAAAATTGTCTACTAAAAATTTCAAAGATAAAATATGGACTCTTCACGAATCAGACGATGTGATAAATTTTTCTTGCGTATGAGACTGTTATTCACCTAGAAAGCTGTTAAGGGTATCGGTGCGTGACCCCTAAAAGAATCAGCAATTTCAACAATCAAGTTCACGAAGTCCTATTGCTCTTACGTTTCTCTATTAATCTATTAATGTAAGATTGCACGAACAAATCTCAGAAAGTTCCTTGGAAAATTAACTGATATTTAATTTTTAAATATAGCGGCATGTGAATATGACGACGACTCATAAACATTTTTTTAAGGCGTAATCTCCACGGTGCATAGATTCACCCATACTCTTACAGAAATATGGCGAATATGCATGGATATTTATCTCGGTGATGCAGCACCAACATTAACTGTTTTGATATCGCCTAATAATATAGTTTCTCTACTTCTCTACTTTTCTCTACTTCGAGCCGTAAACGCAACCTCAGCCACCTTCTCCGCTTTTCTCCCCACTACCTCTCTAACTCTCACCGACTATCAAAATATAGCAACGGCATGCAACTTCAATTCATAAAAACAAGTACCACTTTCGTGTTTTCCATTTAGGAGTAATTTTTAAATAGTTCTTAACTACAGCTCTCCACAAATATTACTCAACTTCCAAGAGTAAATACAAAAGCGACACTATAAATTGTGTGTATGTTCACAGCATAACTTATTGTGTATCCACATCGGTCATTGTTCTGTCCAGTCTATTAGTACGGAACCACGTTAAAAAAAAAAGAAGAGAATGTTATTTAAATGAGGACCATTGCGAATTTTCCTTCGCCATTGCCAATATTTCGGTTACAGAGACCATAAATAGCACTACAACTCGATGACTTTTTGGCTTAGCTAAAAGAACAAGCCGTGCACTCAACAAATTTACCACACACTTTTCACATCGAGTCCACGCAATTTTTCGAAAAATTCGTTGCAGCACGCAATTCATTGTAGTGAACCGACTAAAATACTTTCAGTATTCGTCACATTCAAATAATAAATACGAAACCATTTGTAAGCAAAAGTCAACAAAAACGTTTACCCAACTATAATTTATTCGCACTTTTGAAAGGCATTTTTAAATGAAGTTAACTAAACAAAAGAGAATAGCTTGAAACGAAAACGTTCTGAAGAAAGCATATTTCTTGAAGGTTTGCGGAATTTCGGTTGAGCTGCTATTCAAAATAACGCCGATGAATCGCTTCTTAATCGAATAAAGCATAAATCAGCGACAATTAAGCTCAGTAAAGATCGACTGAAAAAATTTGGCAAATGTGCTAACCTCTTAATAATTATAAAATCGCCAGAATGCAATTCTAGATCAAAATCATACGATTGTCCTCGTACTGTAGAGATGCTGAATATTGTCAAAATAGATAAACTGCATTCCATTTCAGGTTGGAACCGAGTGGTATTAGGGAAAGCGATTTTCATCAAAGAAGACTTAAAAAGGAGAATTCTACGAAACTTATGAGATATTCTCAAATAAGCCTGGAATTAAAGAAAAATCATAAATATCAAATTAAAGAAATATCTGGAATCTTTTGATAATACTTGGGCCAATGAGATTCCAACTGTTAAACTTAAGATCGAGGAGAATTTTGCCTGAGAATCACATTCTTTTCAAAATTTGCAGTACAAAATAAAAAAGTGAACATCGCAAAAAACAAGTGCATTATCTCCATTTTCTTTTTAAAACAAAGTCATAATAGATTTACATGAAATTTCATGTTGCACAGAAATTCTATCCAAAATCAAAAAGAAATAAAAAGAAAAATGCAGTATTAAAATTTCTTAATCAATGATATAAAAAATACTTTAAGAAATTCAAATAATAATAAGAATAATTTTAATTTTCAAAAAAAATCGACGAAATAATATGGCGAAATATACGAAATATAATAAGCCACACAACAGGACATGAACATGCATCTTCACAAAATGTGACAGCTTTGCTTGATTTATGCTGCGCCACCATTGAACAATATCACTTACAAGCTTCGCATCAATACACAATCTTATGATGCAGTGCTCTCTATATGAAAGTCAAATTGCACGAAAGTTTGGTTGTTTCGTTCTGTAGACATTCTCCGAACACTTGAACAGATCCTACAGCGCTCCACGCGAATATGCTTTTTCTTTTCTTCTAACAGCTCTCACCATTACTGGTTACGCTGGTTTCACTGGTTCCTCTAGATAAGAAATTTCCAAGCGGCGCTGTCTAATGCCATCGTCGACAGTAATAGAAGCCATTCCTTTTTCCATCGTCTAAGTCCATGTATTGCTGATCCATCTATACGTTCAAAATCCTTCCTGATCGTGTCAGTTCAGATCTTGATGGGCCCTGCTCACCTTTTGACGCCACCCATCTCAGGGTTTAGCAAAATATGTCAGTCAACTCTTGTGGTGGGCGACGAAGAACGTTTCTTAACCAGCGAAGGCAACGCTCTGTGATGGTACTGTTAGTACAAGTGGTACTTGAACGAAGGTGGATGCGATCATGTGAGATTTTATCCACTCACGAATAAAAAGTATTTTGGAAATGAGTGGTCTAAGACAGACAGACTTCTTGATATCCTCCACTCTCAATGGCTATGTCTCGCAGCCATATAGCAAAATTGAGCGAATTGCAGTTTTATAGGCGAGATCTTTCGTTTTCATTATGATTTCATAGCAAATTCATAACGATTTCATCAACCGGAAAAACACATTTCTAGCAGTCGTTATCCGGATTACAATTTCATCCTTTGCCTGGCCAATTGGGATTGGAGTGGATCCAAGGTATTTAAAGTTGGGCACTTCCACAATTGGCAATAAATCGATAAAAAATAAGTATTTTATCAGCATCTTGTATATGAGAGGAAAACTTTTTCGTTTTATTTACGTTGACCTTGAAATCCGATTCTTAGTGCAGTAATGGCACATTTTTTAACATTATTTGCATTTCATTATAGCTGTCAGCAAAAAGGACTACATCATCAGCGTATTCGAGGTCTGTGATGCTATGCTCTGGACTGATTTGCACACCTCTTGAGTGCCGACAAACGTGCCCATTATCTAGTCTATCGCATAGTTGCGTATTGCAAGGAAAAGCACGCAGACCTGCCGGATACCAGTTTTTATTTCGAAGGAGTCTGTCAGTTCCCCATATATACATATCTGCGGAATGATCTTCTTTGGGGCACCGTAATATTTCATCACTTTCCAGAGCGCCCCTGCCCTATCAATCAAATCGAAGGCAGCTGGAAAATCGATAAAGCAAGTGACGATGGGTTGCTGGTATTTGAAGCTATGTTCCAGCACCCTTCTTAGCGTAAATATTTGGTCAGTATCGTCCTGGTTTAAGTTTAGCTTAATTTAATTTTAGCTTAAGAAAAAAAACATTAATTAAGGAGCATCCTCATGTCTCTTACTGCCACAAGTCTAATGTGTAGAAGGAAGGGAAAAAATTTTCGCTAAGGATGCCTAGCAGGCTAATTCCTCTGTAATTGTAACAGTACTGTCCTGTCACTTAGGAATTTGAAGCACAATTGCTTTGCTCCAGTTATCTGGTAATATTTCTTTTTTCCATACCAGACAATACATTCGTTAAAGGTTCGTTATGAAGGACGATGGATAATGTTTGAAGAGATCAACCTGAACACCAAATTCTTCCGGAGTCTTATTGGCCTTAAGCTTATGGATAACGAAGATTATTTCTTTTTCTGTCGGAGGCGGCTCGCAATTATAAGCGTCTGGTTCGGCGAACGTATCAGCTGCATCAGGAGCAACAGATGGCGCTTCATTGTTAAGTTTGGTATCAAAGAATTTCTTCCATCTCATGAGGCGATCCTTAATATTCTTAATAGGCACGCCATTGCTGTCCCTTACCATTTCATTACTGGAATGGATTAAGCAAGAATGTGGTTCTAGAACATTCTACATCCAGGTCAAAGAAGAAAAAA